ACATTAAATTTGAAATTTTATAATGATGTCCAAAAAGATAGACAAAGAAGAAAAAACTCATTAATCACCTTTGGAGAATGCTAGGGAACAACTGCATTATTTTGAACACTGGTAAATAAAAATAAAAGGTAAGAATGTTGTTTTTATCCTATATTTCAGGATAATCAGGATTTAAACTGTCCTTCAGTATGACACTTGATAAAAGGAAGAATCTTTCTATAGAAGTATTCCAGTTAATCAATGATGAAGGACCGAGGGAGGGAGAAGGGGAAGAAGGCAGGGAACAAAAGAAAGAGAGAGAAAGAAAAAATATGAGGCTAAAAGAAGAAAATATAGAAGCATATCTTCATGACTTCATTTCTGAAAAACCCTAAATCACAAACCATAAGGTGGGGAGGAGAGGGGTGATTAATTTGACTATATTAAAATTAAAGACATGTTTCAACAACAGATACCATAGACACAGTTAAAGATGGAGGGTAGATTAGAATAAGATATTTATACTTGCTCTAAGCTTAACAAGAAAGCCAGAATAGGTAAGGAACTCCTGCAAATCTGCCAGAAAAAGGAGACCCAAAGAAAAACGATTGATAACAATAGGCAGTTAATAGAAGGGGAGCCCAAATGATAATATGAAGGTCGACTGCACTAGAATTCAAAGAAATACAAATTAAAGCAAATTTGCAAACAGTAGAAAGTTGGATAATATCAAGTGCTGGCGAGGCTATAGGGAAAATGGGAATCTTCACAGATAGTAAGAGCCTAACGTGGTGTAGCCATTTAGGAGAGCTAGTGAGCAGTTCAGCACTCACACTTCTGGGTTTTAGACCTCAGACAAATTTTCACATATATCCACCAATTTCTGTCTGCATTCATTACAGCATTGTTTGAGATAGCAAGGAATTGGTAACAACCTAGGTGTCCCTCACTAAGGAAATGTATAAATTAAAGTGATGGAATACCATGCAGGTCAGAAAATAATGAACTAGATTTACATATTGCAACGTGGAATGTTCACAAAAACATAATGTCGTGTGAAAAAAGAAAGAAATATAATGAGCTTTATAGCCCAATAAAGGTCATGTGTCTTAAACAGAAGCACATAGGCCATTTCATTCTACTTTTCAAGGATGCATCTATATACACGAGGAAATGGATTGTGCCAGCACATTGCTCAACTCCAGGGTTACTTTTCACAGTTTCCTATGTGAATGGTGCCCTCTGGAGCACGGTTCCAGAATACAACATGAATGGTGCCCCCTGGAGGTGTGCAGCATGGCAGCACCCAATACGTAAGATGGTTTGGAAGGTCATGGATTAAATACACTGGCCTAGGTGCCTATGGTGGGAGCAAGAAGGGAAATGGAGTGGGAATGGGGGCGGAAGGGGAACGTGAAGTGAAATAAAAAGACAGAAGAGGGCCCCCATACAACAGAGGATGGCAGTTGAAGAAATACGATCCGCTCAATTCTGTGGTCTTAAGGAGTGAGGGAAAGTAGACCTAAAAGAGTGGTCTTGAGCTGGATAACTATCAACCTTGTAAATTCTGCTAAGAAATGTGGATTTTACACTGAAAGTTATGGGGAATCCTGGAAGTGTCTGAAACAGGAAAAGTTCGCCTGGGAATGGATGAGAGGGGCAGAGGCTGGGACAGTGGTCCTTTAAAGCAATCCATGCTAGGTCTCCACATGTGCAGTGGAGTCAGCGTGGTCCAAGATGTCCTCCATCAGGTGTGTGTGCCTGACTCCACGGGCCCAGGGGTCCTCGGAAGGCCCAGTACTCCCTCCTTCGACCCTTCCCCAATCCTCGTGTACACAGAGGCTCAACCAGAAACAAGGTCTGGTTAAAAGTGCTGTGGACAGCTCTGGCACAGCCATGGTTGTTGATGCCACCTTCCAGATGTGACTGTGAATAGCGCACAGCTGTCTGCCCTGATGGCCGAGGGTTCCATGTAGTTGACTGGTTATGCACCTGTGCCCTTGGGGCATTCAGTCAAAACCTCCATGCTGAAAAACAGGGTATTAATTTTTTGTAAGAAATTTTTTTCATGGCAAACATTTCACCTCTCGCAGACAGATGCCCAGATATTTACATAGGAATTTCTCCTTCTTTGTCTTTTCCTAAATCCTCACCTGGTAGATATTCACTGGCTTTACAATTTTAAGAAAATCACTCCACCTCCCTGGTGGAAATACTTGGACAAGACTTGATAACCCCTGAGGCCCTTCCAATGCCAACAATCTGGGGCCTGTGAGGAATCTTTTTCTGGCTGTGCCGAACACTTCATGGGTATAATGGGACTGGTGTGATGTAGCACAATGGGCATGGGTTTTAGAGTCAGGCTTGGATTAGAATCCTGCATCTGCTGCTTATCAACTGCATGGCCTTCGTTTCTTTATCTGTAAAAATTGGAGGTTGAAAAGTTCTATCTCTAAAAAAGAGGAAGATTGGCAACAAGTGTTAGCTCAGGGTGACTTCTCCCCTGCAAAAAAAAAAAAAAAAAAAACACACAAAACTTCTATGTTACAGGATGAATGCAGAGAAAACGCATGGGAAAAGACTCAGCATGAGGATCTGGGGTTTGGAAAGCACTCAGCAAAAGACAGTTTCTCCTCATCCTCCTTGTTCTCTGTTTAGAACGTTTCACAAATATTTTCACACCAGAAATTTCACAAATTGTCATAATCAAATTTTCACTCCTCAAGAATTTGAGGACAAGCTCAGATGTAGTATCATACATAGAAATAAATTCTTAGAAAAATTTTAACTATTAATTAGAGGCTGTTAATAAAGAAGTGGGCTTATGCATTTATTTTATTTTGATTTCATTTTTGACGGGTGGGTAGGGAGAAGTGCAAAATCAAATACATTTTATGACATCTAAAAATAACCTTTTCTGCTAGACTCAAGATGAAAAAAGATAATGAATACTTTCTTTTTTATAAATCTGATTCTCCTATTTGTTAATCCTCTTAACCTTGCTCACGTGGACGGTTTTTTTTTGTTTGTTCATTTTTGGTGAGGAAGATTGTCCCTGAGCTAACATCCGTGCCCATCTTCCTCTATTTTGTATGTGGGATGCCTCCACAGCATGGCTTGATGAGTGGTGTGTACGTCCACGCCTGAGATCCGAACCCACGAACCCCAGTCCCCCCGCAGCCCAGGGCGCAAACTTAACCGCTATGCCACCAGGCGGGCCCCTCACGTGGAGTTTTTGCCCCTCCTGCTTGGACAGATCTCTGGACATCTCTGATATGAGACAAGATTGCTGTTACCAAGCCAAGCTCAGGAAGACAAGGAAATGGGAAGGAGAGAAGGCACCATGTCCTCTTAACACTTCTGGCCAGATGACCCGCCCTGTCTATTGTAACGATATTTTAAGTCAGTGGTTGCCAGCCCTGGGTTTCTGGGGCCACAAAGAATTAACTAATTTTGATTAAAATATTTTCTTAACAGAATATAATATCTAATGAAAGCCAAAGTGTGGTGAAATAGGTACTGTCATGCACAGCAGGTTGTAATTAGAACAAATCTTTTGAAAAGCAATTGGCAATTAAGCATCAAGACCTTAAATGTTTGTACTCTGGGAATTCTCTTTCTGGGAACCTGTCTTATTGGGAGAGGGTTGAATTAGGGAAACAGATACGTGCACAAAGAAGCTTATCATGGTGTTATATTATAATAGTAAAAACTATTGGGAACAACCTAATAACATGATAACAGTTACATACACTATGGCGCAGCCAAGAGATGGACGGAGCCATTTACAAGGAGTCTGTCAAACCCTGAGCATAACAGCATATAGACAATCTCATCAAAACTATATTTTTTTAAAAAAAGCAAAATATAAAACCTTCACAATTCAAAAGGTCTGGAAGGAAAGATATCAAATTTTGGTAGTGGTAGGCTTTTAGTGACAGAATTTTGAGTGACTTTTCTTTCCTTTTACTTATGTTTAGGTCCATCATAAGGACTATAGTATACAACTTTTATAATCAGATAATAATAATAAACATGTTTTATAAGGAAGTAAACAGAGATGCCAGATGGAATCTTTTTGGTTTGGGAGGTGGCTGAGAATGGAATAATTAAGATCAAAGATACAATAAATTATATCAGTTCCAAAAAAGGATGGGGCTTCCTGGTGAGGAGCCCACCATACTCTCCTCCACAAGCTCACTGGCTCCTCGCCAGGATTTCCCTTAGGCCAGGAGAACGGGAGAGGAGTCACTTTTCCCAGGGGCACTGAAGTCCTGGCGCTGGTGCATTCAGCGCTAGGCATCCATTCTCACTCCTGGTGCCATGATGATTATTAAACAAGAGGATGACATTTAAAAACTATCTAGCATTTATTAGGCACTTCCTAGGTACAGGCACTGTTTTGGTGCTTTTTGTATCCATATTTCTACAGTTTGCAAAAGCTCTTGGTAAAAGGAACTATTGTCTCCTTTCTTTTTTCCACCCCTGCCCTCCTTTCTCCTACCCACAGAGAGTGCCTTTTGGGGATATAATAGATTTGGATGAAAGAAAAAATGTGCAGACTGGGCCATCCTTTGTTATATAAACAAAGCCCCCTGGCTGCCTGGAGAGTTGACTGGAGAAGTATCTTCAGGTGGCTGGGACAGGTAGGTTCTGGAAAGAGGGGCACCAGAAAATCCCACAACCTTCTCCCTGTGATGTGGCTTATTTGCTTTACAGGCTTCAGGCATATTTGCTGATGTCAGCAGCCCGTCAAAGTTTAAAATAATAATAGTGAAAAGGAAAACAGCCCCTTTCTGCCAGGCAGTCCTGTTCTGCCAACTTCTGGGTCCTCTTTTGAGTTAATAAACATCAAAGAACCACCTCCCCTACCTCCCTGGGGAAAAACAAAAAGCACAATAATTTTTAAACCAGGTCAGCCCACTGCCAGCATAAACCATGCAGATAAGTGGCGTTTGTCACACACTAATGAGGATTTTACCTCTGTCTCACAAGGAAAGCTGTCATTAGGCTTTGTGTTTATGGGATGCAATGATTGGGGACAGTGGGTTTCTTTCGGTCCCTTCCTCATTTTAATCATGCTCAAGACCAAATGCATAGATGTTTTCTGCATCAGATGAAAGTAAAAAACCATAATTATGCCAGCTAACGTCTTCTGAAAACATCAATTAAGAAAACAGCCTTTTAATTCTCATTTTACTTGAAAATTTGAAAATATCCACTAGTGTTGTAATAGCAGGGAGGAGGTGGGATGGAGGGGACTATCTCTAAAAAGGAGACAGTCCACATGACTTGAGGAGGGCAGGAGGGCAGGCTCCCATTGGATAGACAGAGAATCTCTCCAAGGGAAGAAACTTCTCTATATAGCAAGACCTCTTAAGTTATCTTCACGTGTAGTGTTGAAACTGGAGCCAGCCCCTGTACGGGGAGGTTGATACCCGGCTTCTGCACCAGGCTGGCACCACACACACAGCCCATTGTTAATCCCTCCTCAGGACAGATTAGATCCCACATTCCTCAGAAGTACTAAGCTCCAGAGGGAACACGGCCAGCAAGCTCCTTCCACAGACGCAACAACCAGCTCCAACTGATAAGTTTTCATGGAAACAACTGGAAAAATTACATGGGGGCTCCATCACCAGCTATTGAGGGAGAGGTGTTGCACTTGCATCTCCTGGCGTGTGCAAAGGTGTGAGCTAGACAAGAGTCATTCAAGCCAAGTCATTAGCTCACTTGCACATGTTTTTATCTATGGCTAAGTGCCGTTGTTAATCAAATTGTTCACCCAAGGTGTATATTAGATTGTCGGATTGTTTTTTTCTTTTCAGGCCTTATCTAGTAAACCTTAATATTTACCCTATCTCAGTTTAGGTCTGGACAAGTAACTAATTAATCTCTGACCAAAGATAGTGAAGGTAGATTTGGGTTTGGGTAAAATCTATTGAGGTCATGACTAGTTTTAATCTTATAGCTCAGATCAAAAGCCGCACACTAGCAAAGATCTTTGCTTTCAAGTCTTAGTTTCAACCAGGGTGCTGATTAAACAGCAAATTTAGTTGTACTTAACTTGAATTCTGCAACGTCCCTTTTCTTTTTTCTGAAGGAACAGTGATTGAGTGGATGGAGTGGCAATATGAATGAAAGAAAAACACACATACCTTTGCAGGAGCAAATCCCCAGGGGCCTAGATTAAATTTTAACCTGGGATTATGTCTGCCAGGATTCCATATCTCAAAAGGGTTATGTTTGGCTTTTGTAATAATTAAAGGTTATTTTGGAAAAAGGATCCCATTTTAATGTATACTGTATTTGCTAGGAGGAAATACAGGGTTATGCTTCCATACAGTTCAGCCTTTGAAAGAAAATAAAAGGCAAACAGCTCAGCAGATGGATAATTCCCCAATCTGCAGAAATGTAATGTAAACAGCCGGGATTTTGGTGCCTATGGGTTTTTATCAAAGATGTAAGTAAGGCTGAGACCAACACCAGTGCGTCCTCTTTGGCTAGTTTTAACACGTTCACAGCCACAATTAACATTCAAGGAATTTCCTTTTCATCCAAGTGTTTCTTTTAAAAGCACTTTATGCCACAAACTAAAGTTCTAGCTGCCATCAGTCCTTCCCATACAGAAGAGTGGTGAAATCTCCATAATACTTTCTTTTTTCCTTTCTTGAAAATGGGCTCGGACCACGTCAATTTTCCTGGGGCGTTTGTTTTCTACCATAGGGGGTTCTCACTTCCTCCCTCCTTCCTTCCCCTAAAAGAGCTTGTTTTGGAGACCCGGCTTTCTCCTCCCGCGTCCTCCTCCGCACTCACTCCGGAGCCAGAGGAGCACGGCTGCGGGGCAGGCGTCCCGACCCCTTCCCCCGCCCAGGCGGAGCGCTGTGCCCGGCAGGAGCTCCGGGCCCACCCCCAGCCTGGTTTCAAGTCCCTGAGCCGGAGGGACTGGTGCTTTCTACAAGGAAGGGAGGCGGCCGTCTCGCTCTCCCACCCTGCTCCTCCTACACAAGGGATTCGCACACCGGCACCGAGTCCGAGTCCTGGCTGTGCATCGAGCTCAGCCCGGTATCCGAGTCCTCGTCGTTGCCAGGACAGCTCTTGGCCAGTCCGCGGGCCTGGTCCACCCACACCTCCGCGCAGGCCTGAGGCCGGGGTTCCCGCGAGGGTCCGCCCGAGCCGGGAGTCCCACTGGGCGCCACCGTCAGCTCCAACGTGTGCAAAGTCTGGAGAAGACCCTGCAGTTCGCGCTCCTTGCTGTCCCACTGCTGCTGGCTGTAATCCAAGTCCGACTTGACGGCCTCCAGGTCCGTGTTGAGCCGGAGCCCGATATAGAGGCTGGTGCTGAGCTGAGTCCTGACCCGCTCCTGCTCCAGCAGCAGCTCGCCGTCGAGGCTGCCGTCCGGCTCGGGGGGCTCCTCTCGCGCTGCGAGCTCCTCCTGACGCCGCCGCATCCATCTCTGGTTCAGCTCCTCCTGAATCTCGGCTGAGAGGCGCTCGAGCAACTCCTCCTGCTGGGCCCGCTGCTCCTGCAGCCGCAGCAGGTCGTCGCAGCGCCGGGCCAGCTCCTCCAGCGCGGCCGCCTGAGCCTCGCCATCCAGGGGCGCCGCCGCCGCCACCGCCTCCGGCTCCTCTTCCGGGCTGGGCCCGTCGAGCTCGTTGTCTGCGCCCACCAAGTACGTGTCCTGCACGTAGTTGACTCCGTGCCGCCGCATGCGGTCCAGGTGCACCTTGGCCTCGTAGCGATCGATCTCGCGGTCCAGCTCCCGGAGCCGCTGCACCTGCTGACGGATGGTGTGGTCCTGGGAGAGCACCAAATGCACCAGCGTCTCCATGCGCTCCACCGACGCGCTCTCGGAGGCCCGCGGCGGCGACGAGCAAGATGAAGCTGTGGACGACGAGGACGAACAGGGCGACGACGGCTGCTGCTGGCGCCGCCGGTTGAGCTTGGCCAACTTGCGGAAGGCCTTGCGCACCACCCGCCGCTGCTTCTCCTGGGTCATGGCTAAGCCGGGCCGCGCCGGGACCCCCCGAGCCGAGCAGGGGCGCTCGCGACTGAGCACGACGCGCGCCTCGGCGCTGCGGGGGCCCGCGTTGGGCAGCGACGCCTCGCTGCGCACCAGCACGAAGCGCACATTCTCTCGCTCGTCGCCCCAGGCGGCCCAGAGGCGCAAGATGCGCGTCTTGTTGGGCAAGATGCGCTCAAAGCCCCGCCACTTCTCCACGATGCAATAGCACTGCGGAGGCCCGCACAGCATGCCCTGTGGCAGCGCCTCGTCGTCGTCCTCGTCGTCCTCGTCCGGTGGTTCCGGCATCTCCCCCGGAGCTGGCGGGTCGCCGGCCGCTCCCCGCCGCCGGCCTCGCCGCTGCCTCCGTCGCCGCCGGCAGCCGTCCTCCAACAGCACCCGCACCACGTCCGAGCAAGTGGTGCGGCGGGAGAGGCCCGACACCAGCTTCTCCTCCTGGCAGATCCACACCGATATCTTCTTCTCCGAAGGATCCATGGTGCAACCGGGACGCAGGGGGCGGGTCGGGTCGGGCCCCGCTGGGACGGCAAGGGCAGGGCAAGCAGCCTGGCAGCTCTAGGACAGGATAGGAGCCCGGAACCCTCGCCTCCGTCACCCCTGGCCCTCCTCCCCACCTGCGCACCAAAGGCAAGCGCTAGCGCGGGCTCGAGCGGCTGCGGCTGCGGCTGTGCTCGGCCCGGACGGCGTACTCTCCCAGGGCAGTGCGCCCGGGCTCCGGCTCCCGCCGTTCTGGCTCTGGCGAAGGTTCCCGGGGCCTCCGGGTTTTGCTCCTCCCCACGTGGCTCCTCCTCTTCCCGCCCCCGGCACCTAGAGCTGCGGCCGGGGCAGGGGAGGTGCGGTGCCCAGACCCGCCCCTCGCGGCCTCGCCGCGTCGCGTGCGCCCAGTCCGTCTCTCTCCTGCGCCGGAGTCGGTAGTCTCCGCCCCTTCTGAGGGCTGGCGGCTCTGTTGCGCGTCCGCGTAGGGAGAACTCGGGGCCCCGTGGGCTGCGGGGCGTGGAGCCGGTGCTTGGGCGGAGATCGGCTCTGCGTCCCCCTCGGCCCACTGGCTCCTCTCGATGCATCTAAAGCTAGTTAGACGCATCTTGACTTGACGTGCGCACCTTTCCCGGCGCCCCCGGGCGCGTTTCCTGGTCCGTCAAGGCATCGCCGTCTGGGGGAGTGCCCTGTGCGCAGACGGAGAAACCAAGACACTCAGCGTCTCTAACGGAGACCCTCTAACCGCATTACATGCCTTCCAGCTGGGAGCTGTAAGCTCACCTTGAACGCAGAAGGCCTTCCATCTTCTGCCTCGGGAAGCAGTATTTGCATATTTAAGCATAACAAGATGGGGCAGTGTGCTCCATGAGCAAGTGTATAGAAAAGTCTAGGCTGGAGGAGGACCTTCAGAGGCTGCTCGTGGTTCCCGCAGGGTCATGTCTGTGGCTCCCCACGTCGCCTCGGCTTCTCACAGCCTTCTTGGCAGGGGGACGCCTGATTCTAGTGGGAGTTTGGGGCCCATACCCAGGTCACAAGCTCTTTTTTCACATCTCACCTCCATAAAGGGAAACCTAGTCATTACCATGACAGTTTCTGGCATCTTCCAATATCCAGATGTGGTCAAGAAGAGATGAGCCAAGTTTCACAGCTCAAGAAATCCAAGACCACAATGCAAATGAACTTTTTTCATCCTCAGATTCTGTTGAGGATGGTCCCTTGTGTGCAAGGATTGCCCTCAGCTTATCTTTGTGGGTACAGGTCTGATAAGGCCACTACCTTGCTTCAAGCTGTTGAATGGCTCCCCATTGCCTCCTGAATAACGCATTCCTATTCATTCACTCATAAACTCAGTAAATATTTATTGAGTACCTACTGCACTCCAGGTACTGTGCTAGGGATTTGATGATGAACAAATCACAGTCTTGGCCTGCAGGGAGCTCACAATCTAGTGGAGAGCACAGCTGAGCAAATATATCCAACATAGGGTCTTCTGTGCTCTGATAAGGGAGATCATGAGGTGCTAGGGGAATGCTGGAGTAGCATCCTACCAGTCTGGGTGAGTCAAGGAAAGCTTCCCCGGGGAGGTGGCATCTTAGGCAAGACTGGAAGCACTATTTGAATCTGCCCAAGAAATAATAGATGGAGGGGAGGAGGCAGGCAGCATCCCAGGCAGAAGGAGCCATATGTGCAAAGTCAAGGAATCAAGAGAGCATGGCGGTTAGTGGGGCTGCAAGGAGTTTAAGGGAGAGGAGTGTCTAAGAATGAGGTTGGATGGGTGAGCATGAGCCGCATCAGGAAGGACTTTTAATTCCATGCATCAGTATTTGGACCTATCCTAAGGGCAATGAGAAGCCATAGAGTGTGGATTCTGAGGTCAGACTGGCTGAGTAAACATCTCAGCCCTGTCACTAGTAAGTGATTAGTAAGCCCTGTGACCTTAGGAAAAGTATTTCATCTCTCTGAGCCTGTTTCCTCATCTGTGAAAAGTGATAATAAAAATATCTGCCTATTAAGACTGTTATGAGGGTTAAATGCCTGGACCAGGTAAGTCCACAATAAAAGTTTTATTGGAGGGTTAAAAACCATGGGGGTTTATTAGTTTTCTATTGCCATGTAGCAAATTACAACAAATTTAGTGGCTTGAAATAACACCCGCTTATTAGTTCACAGTTCTGGAGGGCAGAAGTCCGGCATGGCATGGCTGGGTTCTCTGCTCAGGGTCTCCCAAGGCCAACTGCCAGGTGTCGGCTGGGTTGAGTTCGCATGTGGAGGCTCTGGGGAAGAATCCGTTTCCTAGCTCACTGGGGTTGTTGGCAGAATCCAGTTCCTTACAGTTGTAGGACTGAGGTCCCTGCTTCCTTCTGGCTGTTGACTAGGGGTCACTCTCAGCTCCTAGGAGCCTCTCTGAGGTCTTTTCCACATGGCCCTCCTTCATTTTCAAGCCAGCAACAGCATGTCGAGTCCTTTAAATCCTCCTTCGCTTTGAGCCTCTCTGACTTCCGCTTCTACTACCTGCTGGAGGAAACTCTGCTTTTGAAGGGCTCACTTCATTAGGTCAATTCACCTGGATAATTCACCTATTTCACTGTAGACTAATTAGTAGCCTTAACTATATCTGCAAAATCCCTTTTGCTGTGTAACATAACATGATCACCAGAGTAACACCAGGGTGATGGAGATCATGGGGCTGTCTTAGATTTCTGCCTACCACAAGATGTAACATGATCCTTCTCATCTTAAGAAATCACTCTGTTTGCATTGAGGATGATGGGTAGGAATGGGGAATGAGAGGTAAGGAGGCCCCTTAGAAGACTGTCACATTCATTCAAGGAGAGGATGGTGGCCTGCACTGAGAATCGTGGTGGTGAGGGGACTGGACAAAATTGACAGCTATCAGGGAGGTGGGAGAGGCAGGACTTGGTAATGGATTGAAGGGGGACTTCCATCTCCCTAGCACAGTATTGGGGGTCACATAATATGGTCCAACCCACTGCCCCAACTTCTCCCTCACATGCTTGGCTATCCCACCTCCTTCCTCTCTTACATTATGGTTAGAGTTTTGTTATCAGCTGCCATCCCTGATGGATTTTAAGCTTCACCAGAGTAGGGATAATATCTATTTTGCTCACTTTTGAATCCTCTGCATTTAATACAGTAGCACAGTGCCTGGCACCTTCTAGGTTTACAGTATCTGTTGAATAAATAAATGGATGAATGAATGAATCCTACATTCTAGCAAGTCAACACCTCACTTGTCTGAAACAGCCCCTGCATGTTGATGCATCCATGCTTTTGTACACGCTTTCCCCGCTAGTTAGGATCCCTCTTAAACAACTGGAAAACTCCTACTCATTCTTCAGAAGCCCAGTTCAAAGATCATGTGCTCTGGAAATCCTTTCTTTCCTCCTCTAAGAAGAACTGGTTCCTTGCTCTTCTTCTGCCTCTCAATGCAGACGTTATATTGTGTTGTGATGCATTTTTTTTTTTTATATCTGTTTTAAGAATGAAGACTTAAGAGCTTTTCGAGAGAGTGGATTGACTGTCTTATTTATATTTTGGTTCCCAGTGCCTAGAGAGTGCCTGGCACATGATGGAGCCTCAATCTTCCTCTATGCTGTTAGGAACACTAAGATGAATAATATCTAAGATATTTTGCTACCCTCAAGTTTATTATAATTTCTTTCTAGAGGCAGACAAAATATGAGGCTTCCCTGTTGTAGGAATAATATATAGGAACTTCCTGCTGGAGTAATTAAAGGGTGGAGCGATCAAGGGGTCCTGGGAAGGTTGAAGAAGGTGGGGCTTTAATAAGTGGAGAGAAGGGGTTAAGGGGATCCTTGGTGGGAGAAATTGCATGAGTTAAAATGTCAAGGTGGGTAAGCACATGGTTGTGTACTGGTGTTTTAGAGTGTGAGTTCTGGGGTCACCCTGCCTAGATTTGAATACCAGCTGTAGGATTTCTAAGCTTTAATTTCCTTATCTGGAAAAAAGGGAGAATAATAGAATCTTCCTTGTGGAGTTGCCATGAACATGAAATGAAACAACGTACAACACATTTAGCACAGTGGCTGGCACCTAACAAATGCTTAATAAAATATAGCTGGCTTCATCCACAACTTTTATTGAGCACCTACCCCATGCTGTGTCCTGGGCTAGTAGTTGAGGATACAGCAGTGAACTACACAGGCATGGTCCCTGCCCTTACAGAGCTCTCAGTCAAGACTAGTTGATATTTGTTTGGTTAGAAATGTACTTATGGGCCAGCCCCGTGGCTTAGTGGTTAAGTGCGTGCGCTCCGCTGCTGGCGGCCCGGGGTTCAGATCCCGGGTGCTCACCGACGCACCGCTTCTCCGGCCATGCTGAAGCGGAGTCCCACATACAGCAACTAGAAGGATGTGCAGCTATGACATACAACTATCCACTGGGGCTTTGGGGGAAAAATAAATTAAAAAAAAAAAGTTTAAAAAAAAACAGAAATGTACTTGTTAGATTACGCTAGGCTGTAGTAACAGACAGAGTCAAACATGTATAATGGCTCAAACATGACAGAGGTTTATTTTTCACTCACATAATAGTCAAAAGCCTATGTCCTAGTTGGTAGGTTGCTTTATTTCAGACAATGATACAAGGATCCTGGTTTCTTCCGTCTCATGGCTCCAAAATCCCCTAGACCTCGTCATCTACCTCCAGCCAGAGGAAGAGGAGAGGAGGACGGGGCACATCCTCTTCTTCAAGGCCTTGGCAGGGAAATGGAGCATACCACTCCTGCTCACGTCCCACCGGCTAGAACGCAGTCACATGGCCGCTCGTAATGTCAAGAAGGCTGGGAAATGCGGTGAGTGTCTCAAAAAGAAGAGGAAGTGGATTTTTATGAACAGCTAGCTACCTGCCTCAAGAATCTTTATCAGAAATGAGAGATGCGGCAGAGAGAGAAGTGTCAAAAGTCTATAGATTGCAAATGGGTGGCCCAAAGGCCAATTCCGGCTGTCTTTAATGGAGCACATCATAAACCCAGCACTCTCTGTGTCTCATATATGACCCGATTCGCAGACATTCGCTACTCTCCTGACCACGGTAGACATTTGAGGTTGTGACTCCTGCTTCTACACACCCTCCCAGGACCAGCTCATTTACTGCCAAGGATTTAATACTATTGATATGCCATGGCTCCCAAATCTTTGCATCTCTTCCAGATCTCCTGATCTTCAAATATGCATATTCAACTGCTTTACATCCCAAACATTTGTCAAAAAGATAAGCTGAACCCATCACCTTTCTTCACACACCTGTTCTGCCTCCTGAACAGAGTAATTTGAATTTTGTTTTATTTTGTT